CAAAGTATAGAACCAAGAGTTTTAGAGTGTCTAGATCATTACCTTTCCTTAGATTTGAAAATTCAAGAGAGGTCTTTCATAATATGTTTTTGAAGCTTGAATTCCTTCCTTTGTGTATATTTTAGATTTTGAACTTAAAGCATCATCACCTTTGTAAAAATAATTATAGTTTTTAAGCATATATTTATAATTGAAATTAATAAAAATTGCTACTGAATATTGATCAAAACGACAAATATCATAATTATGATGTGAGCAAAATAAATATGAGTGTTGTAATATAAAATCAAAAATAAAGCATGCAAATAGTGGTTGAATCATAAAAATATAACATGCAATTTAAATGAATATATACAATTTATATAAACTAAATAAATTGATTTGGAAAGAACTGGTCTGGGAGTCCGAGAGGCGTGTTTTAAAGAAGCTGAGCCTCCCCACGTGAGAGTACTCACGGACACCAGTGACTCCAAAATTCAACTCAAACGCTCGTAGCAACACCTTCTTAATGATCACGTCTAATGGAAAGTTAAAGTGAACTTGACTCAAATCAAGTTATCCCAAAAATAAAGTAATCGATGATAATTGAAAAAGGTCGCCCAAAATAATTGATACGAGCAATTGAAAAATCTACTAAAATGAACAAAAGTAAAGAATCCTGTATTGATTTTTGTTCTCACCTACCAAATAATATCTCCAAGCCATTATATAGTCGCCGTGTAAAAGTACACATGGCTTTTAATGTCTTTCCATTGTTTTTCCTTTTAGCCGTTTGACACATGTTGTCTTTTCTTTTCTATAGTTTTTATTGTTGGGCAACATGACTTTTCAATGGTTTTATTGTTTGTTCTTGAATAGTCATAAAATCAATTTTAAGGTCTATAATTATTATTCTTGAATATACACACTAAATAGGATCAAAAAATTTGTAACTGAAAATTATAATTTAAACATAATTAAAATAAAAATTTAAAAGTTTTAAAAATTTAATTTTATTCTTACAACCTTGACCTTATGTTAAGATTTACAATGTGACTTCACATAACTAACCAATTACAAATGAGTAATTTTCTAACTATTTGTTTGGAAATTTTGTCATGTGATATTATAGAGACTAAATTTTATTAGAGATTTCAAATTGACTTATAGCAGTTGTTGTCATAATAGGCATCCAACATTGTGTAATAGTCCAAAATTTGTATAAAATTTATTAAGATAATGCAAAACATTCAAAGATGGCTTCATTCTAACTGAAGACAATTTGCATTGACATAAAGCAAGATAAAAGGGATGCAGCAACCAACCATTTCAGCATGCCCAACATTTCTTCACCGAATGTGGTCGCTCAAAAGAGAATCCCTGTTGATCTCCAAAAGCAATGAATGCATTTACTACAAAGCACATGCGAAGATCTGTCATAATTTATTTGGAGTTTCCTGTTGTATGTTATAAGGGGTAGAAATCGCTACGGATCTCATCCCTCCACTTGAAAAATTTCGGCTGACCTGGCGGCTCCGAACCCTAGTAGCATTTACCTCTCTTCGCCAATAGGACCCTTTCTTAAGACAATTCCACATCGAAAGAGAGTCGTCTCCCCTCTGCCATATAAGTGAACACTTCCTATGAATGAGGTACCCACTAGGCACCTAATCAGGTCGCTAGTGGGTACCTCCTCCATAGGAAGTGTTCACTTATATGGCAGAGAGGAGACGACTCTCTTCCGATGTGGGATTGCCTTAGGAAAGGGTCCTATTGGCGAAGAAAGGTAAAAGCTACTGAGGCTCGGTGCCGCCAGGTCAGCCGGAATCCTTCAAGTGGAGGGATGAGATCCGTAGCGATTTCTACCCCTTACATATGTAAAACTTAGCACAGAGATCATATTATAATCATCAAGTGAACCATGCCATAAAAATTGTCATAGGGAAAGAGAAAGAGCTTGTGATACAACACTTGCAACTAAATTTTGGCACCAAGGAAGGATAGAACTAAAGGTCACAAACACATTATCTCCAAGGCAAAGTTGAACTAGAAGATATAGCAATGCATGGTACAAACACTTTGTAGGAACATGCATGGTACAAACATTTTATAAGAACATGTGTCGTACACACACTTTGTAGGAACTTAACTTCACAATGGCCCGACCCATTAATGCATATATAGAAAGTTGGCGCCAATAAGTTAATTATATCAATATAGTTTAAATATTTCCTTTCTAGAGACAATATATTGCACAATGGTCCAACGGTTGTGATACACTTGTGGTTTTGAACACAGAGAGAGAGGAGGATAGTTTTGTGTTGTCATGTTATGAGCAACAATTTAAATTTTATTTCGAAACGGTTGAAATATATTTTTTTTAAGGATATCGAAATGAATCAATGATAGAATTCAAACTCCAATGTTTTAAGGTGTTTTGGAATGTTTCAAGGTGTTTTGAGATATTTCAACGTATTTTCACTATAGATGATACTCGGAAATAATGGCTCAAGCCCAACAAATGATATTTTTGAGGATTTTAGTGAATAAATCGGTTGGCTTATGGAAGAGAAAAAAAGACAATGTGTAAGTGGTTCACCTTAGTCGAGAGACTAAGGCTACATCTACTGTAAAGGAGTCTCTTGCTCCGCGGGATGTATATTACTTGATTTAATATTGAGTACAATGACATTGTAAGCACAAGGCCTTTACAAGAACAAAAGCTTCTCGCTCTACCCTCTGTGTCGAGTGCTTGAGAGTGTAATCAAGAAGATGATGTCCTACGGTAGGGTAACAGTGTTTTATTTATACGAGTGATCCCCTTTAGGGTTTCCGATGGTTCCTTCTTCCTTTTTGCTAATTTTGTGGGCCCTTCTGCTTTCATTTTGCAACAATCTCTATTATTCGGCATTACTGCGCCCACGATCTCTGGATGGTTATGCACACCAACCCCTCTGCATCAGGGAGTGCGTGACTGTCATAGATGTTAGAAATGGTCCCTTTGTCCTTAGGACATGTGGCGCGACGAGAGTGTTCCAGAATTGGCGTTGGATTGGACTTCTTTACCCTGGGCTCTCCTTTGGCTGAATTGGATTGGGGCTAGGTTCGTCCGCAAGTCTTTTGATGCTGTTGGGGGTTGCCCTTTGCACTCGGCCCTCTCTGCTCTTGACGTGGACAAGTTGTGGACGCTTCATTTGGGCCATTTTGCGAGCAAGGGTTTCCTGGACTTAATGAGCTCTTGGAATATGGCGGCCCATACCCGAGATCCCATCATTATCAACTATTAATTGGGCATGTTTCAAGGTATTTTGGTATATTTAGACAAATATTTTGGAAATATACGAAAACGTGTTTCAAAATATTTTGGTATATTTAGACCCTTATTTTGGAAATATACTTTTACATTTTTATTCGTTTCATGTCTATTTCTAAAATATTGTCGAAACGTTTCCATTTGTTGTGTGACCAAAATAATGTATCAAAACGAAATTTTAATCTTTAGCTATGAGTACTTCATTTTTAACATTCTCAAGTGCAAGAAACAATCATTCTTCTTCCTTCAACATAACTAGCAGATTCCCAGCATAATTATATGTTTGGGCAATGTCCTGTGTTTGCTGATTATAATTAATTTGGGTACTGGTTGCTTATTCCTAGTTTCCACCCATGTTTCTTTGATGTAGACATTGGTTTTTGAGCACCAACATGCTCTAACAAATTTATTTCATTGGTCCAAGAAAATCGTTATGATATTATGCCAGAATAACATGCTTCAAATAATTACAAACCCCAACTATGTCCCTTTGTCAAATTTGGCACACAATATCTTCAATGATGAAAACTTCACACTTAGAATCAAAAGAAGGCCAATTTTCCCTATTAACTTGCACAAGAGTTTTTAAACCCTTTTATGCAAGGGTTGTTAGGGTTGGACTTTTCAAGTCTTACAAACTTCCAATATAATCGATCTACCCTCCAACTAATTATGGTTGCATTTAGCATAACTTCTTAAAATAAAATTACATCTCAAAAATAGACTTTTTTAAAATGTACTTTTAAAAAATGTTCCATGTTTGGTAAACATGTATTTAAAAGTGCTTATAAATCTAGAAATCCATGTTATAATATAAAAGTGAGTTTGGTTGCAGTCTCAAAAGTATAAAATGACACTTGTTTAACATTCTTACCCTTAACCTTATCGTAAATATCTCTATATTAATTTGAAAAGTCATTTTCTAATATTTTTGGCAATTCTATCATATATACAAAATAAATAAATTAGGGGGAGAAGGCTTGAGAAGCCTCCCTTCCACATTTCTAAATTTCCTAAATTTTTATTTTTTTGTAATTATCATACCAAGTTTTTATCCAATTACATTCTGTCGTGGGTTGTTTTTAACCATTCCTTAACTCTCACTATTTTAAAAAAAAATTTAATTGCATAAGGCAATTTTTTTAGTATTATTCTTTTCTCTTTCTTGTTACATAAAAAGATGAAAGAAAATTAAATTTTAAAATGACAAAATATATCATGTGCATCACACGAGCGAGCACACGAATAATTTAATTAAAGCAAACATGTTTAAAACTTAACAATTAAACCAGAAAGCTTAATGATAAATTAGTGAAAAACCATAGTTTTCTCCTTGAAATAAATGAAAAAATGATTTCTCCTTTTTCTTAGGTGGGTATGCAAAATAGTTTTCCTATAATTTTAAAATAGGGATTATGGTAAGAAAATTAAAGATAATAGAATAATTTGGTTCCATAGCTAAAATTAAGGAACCAATTTGGCGAGAAGTCTTGAAAGCATGATTTTGAGAAGCTCGGCGAGTTAGCTTTTCCATATGCCCATTTGAAGGAAGCACTTCTCATGTCGAAGTTAAATTTGTTGGGCCACCAAACAGCTCGCAATTCTCCAAATGGACTTCTCCACTCGAAAGTCCATCTACAAGCTGTGCCAAACACATCCCACGTAATAGGGCACTAAACCCAAAAGTTTATTAAATAAACTTAACACCTTAAAGTGTGGAATGTGACCTTAAATAATCTGGAATTAGGCCAGTGAGGTTCATCCTGGCAAGTGTAAGTGGACCTTCATGACCTACATAGTAGAAAAGATTCATTGGGTATCAACCCATACGGATTGTATTAACTCAATTCAACATACAAAGTACCAATTTGGGCTGGAAGCGATTAATAGTCCCATTATAAAGTGGTTATTGGACAAGAGCGATACTATTGAAACCTAATTTACTGACCTTAATTCACTATGACCTTTGCATTCATTGTAGTTTCCATCAAATATTAGAACTTAGTGTTAATCCAATAGTTCCACTGAAACTACATCATTATGTCAACAAATTAAATCATATTTTTAGGTCTAAATAGGATTACTCATTGGACAATGATAGTTTGCGAAGTAAGTGAAACCGTGAAAGGTGGTCTCATAAAATCAGATTTAATGTCAACAAGTTGCAAGAACTAAGATACAAGCTTTGCTTCCATAGTCTGCAAGGCCAACTTTGAAGACAATCAACCCCAAACGTCACTATTAGTGCTGGTTCTGAAGAGTCTAAATGTAGCAAGCTAATATAACAATAATCAACTTGAGTTGCATTTTCTCTTTTTGGCCTTTTTGGGTTTGGCCCTGACAAATTGGAGACATCAAATTGTTACACTGTTGTTAAAGGGTCCATATCTTGGAAACACATAGAATAGAGCCAAGACATTTCAACGCTTTGTCTGTGAGCACATATTAAACAAGTACACAAGGAATTTGAATCAGAGCCTACTCAGTATAAGCAGATTATATGTCTAATAAGACTAGACTTGCAAGTTGCATTTACCACCACTTCATCCAAGAATATGACCTACCACATACAACATAAATGCCTTTCCTGATTAAAATCTATAGGATTGAACAATAGAAGGGCTGAAGAGCTCTATCCCCAAGAGAGCAAACCACACTTTCTGTCAGAACCAGGCAATCTCCCTTTTCCTGCTAACAAACCTATATACTTAAAGTACTCTCCTTCCACTTCCGGAAGTTAAAAATTTCAATGTATATGTACCATATTAAACTTTTCCAGACTGCATACAACTGGCATTATATCTTTCATTCAGCATAGCAGTCTGTAATTATGCATTTCTAGATAATTTTATGCCATATGAACCAATGAATGCACTATAAAGCTTATCACCAAACACGTACACAATAAGAGATAATGATTGAAATATGGTCTTGTCTATATACTGAACCTAAATTAGGAAAATGCTTAGCATGTCCATGTGTTAAAAACTCCAACAATGCACAGACCATATCACTAAGTTACCAAATCAAACATACCTGCAGAACCATGTGCAGACTCTTCTTTACCTGCCTTCACTAACCATGGTGGCTGTCAGTGAAGGCGGAGACCACTGCATAATCTTCCACATATTACAATGCCCTAATGATGGTACCACACTTGTGCTTCATCAAGGACAGAGGGAGAGCGAGAGAATAAGCAAATAACTGAAACAGACCATATGGAGACGGCCTCATGCCATGCTCAATCCCTAGCAATGGTAATAGAAGAATCCAAGTAACATTTACCAAATGCACCACATAGACAGCCAGCAGCATTAGATCTCCCATTGGGTCAAAATGTCCCATTTGCACCTTGCTAGACAGAACCAGCCTTACTGAAGCTGCAAGCTTATATATTGGCTCGACTAATGGCTTCCAGAGGATTACAATCATAGTTTTGGAAGAACACAAGATTTCCCGCATACGAAATTTTCCATAACAGAGCATCCAAGAGGAAAAAATAATACCCAAGAATTGCCACAACAGAGCATCTAGGAAGAAAAAATAATCCCCAAGAATAGATTAAAAAAATATTTCCCAATGAAACATTAATTTCTTTAAGAGAATTGGGTGCCACACTGCCATACTAGGAATAATAGGACATTAGGGTGGTGCTATGATCACTAAATATGTTTTTCTACCAAAAACATTATTTTTTTTTATTTCAAGCCTCTTTAGGATAATAGAAAATTAATTCCATTCCGCTGATAAACAGTTTATAAACAATGACAAATCGATTTCAAAAGTCTTTCTTGCATGGTCCACATCCTAGACAATTCTTGTAAATAGTATTTCAAAGGTAAACATAAGATTTTGTGAAATACAAGTAAGCTACCATAGCCACTGCACCAAGTCCCGCGAGTAGCCAATAGAAGTAATCAAGATGTGCCCGATTTAAATTATCTGATATCCAACTATATTGACCATCTCCACTCGTTGCTTTTTCGATGACATAGATGAGAAAGCTGCTTAAGAAGCTACCTATGCCAATGATACTGAGGTAGAGAGCAAGACCTACACTTCTCAAATCACTAGGCACCTGATCATAAAAAAACTCCTGCAGACCAACTAAGGTGAATACATCAGCAATTCCAAACAATAAATATTGAGGTACCAACCACCACACGCTGATGGGAACTGTCGCCTCTGGCATATCCACCAGCCTGTATTCTAGAGCAATTTTGAGGCGCTCCCTCTCAACTATAGCTGCCATCACCATGGAAAGAACAGATAAAACCAATCCAGTTCCAATTCTTTGAAGCATTGTTATGCCAGAGGGTTTTCTACTCATAGCTCTTGCAATGGGAACCAAAATGCGGTCATAGATGGGAACAAAGGTAACAATGGAAATGCCAATAAAAGATTGTAGTGAAGCAGCTGGTATATCAAAACCTGAACCAATGGATCTGTCCATGGTTAATCCTTGCTTGGTAAATAAAGTTGATGACTGTGCATAGACAGTGCCATATGCCAAACATGTAACCCATATTGGAAACAACCTGAGAATTGCCTTTGCTTCTTCTACTTCTCTGATGCTACATAGCTTCTCGTCTTCTTTTGAACCATCAACTGCAACCAAGGCTTTGTTGAGAAACCTGTAGCAAACCCAGAACACTATAATTGAATAACAATGAACATCCCATCAATCCAGTGACATACAAGAATTTTCCACTAAGATAATCATAAACCAAAAGCTTGTATGTCTAGTCTTACAATGATGTTCCTTACTTGAAACATGCTATCACTTACTTGAATTGTTGAGAACCTTGGTGAGGCAGGGTTCCCTTGGCTTCCTCCACAATAGATATTGCTGAAGAGGTAGTTCGCCTATTCCTAGCTGCTTTGACGAACACCTGACCAATTCTGATAAACGGGCTTTTCTCATCCCCTTTGATGCTAAACCGATAAGTTATACTTCCAAGCAAGAATATAACCAGTGCAAGGCCCATGACAATGCAGGGGATTCCAAACCCAAGACCCCAACTAAGGTTGTCTTGAATGTAGCTCAAAATCAAGATTGCTATTGTGGCTCCTCCACACAGACCAAAATACCACCAGTTGAAGAATGAGTTTCTGGATTTACACTCTTCTGGATCTTGCCCATCAAACTGATCAGCTCCAAAAGCCTGAACGCAAGGTTTGTGCCCTCCTTGAGCTACTGCTACTAGATAAAGTGAGAAGAAGAAGAAGAAAATTTGGAGTTGATCACGTGAACATGACAGGATATTGTTAGCACTTTGGCAGTCAGTAGAGCTGAAAGAAGGAAGCACAGCTGAAAAGGTCAAGAAGCCAAGTCCCTGTGATTCAACCCAATCCCACCAATAAATCACCTTTTTTTTTATAAGTGAATCCAACATATAAATTATGAGCACTTCCTTGATGAAAAATATGTATATTGATTAGCTCTCGGCTGAAACATGGTCTAAATTGATCACAAGCAGGCCTCTTCAATCAATCAAAAGGTTGATTTCTAATGGAACAAAACCAATGCACAAAAAAGACTCGAGATCAAATGCTTAGTGTAACAGATCATATGACAAGGAAAAGTGTAAATGATCAAATAAATTTCCAAATACATACAGACCTCCTTGGAATCCAAAGTTGTACCTTTGAACTTCCAAGTAAAAATCACCTAAATTGTAAGTTCCAACATAAGAAGACAATAAAAGTTCAGTTTTATAACAGAACGGATTAGGTAAGTTTTGTGAAAAATATGGATTCAGATCACCCAAAAACATGTTCTTCGCGATAGGTGTTTGTAAAAGAATGGATTTAAACACTTATGCTTTAGCCCAGCCACCTGTAATTCTTCCAAACAGGAGTTCATGAGTCCAACACTCATCAAAGACAAGGTATAATATCATGCCCCACTTGGGTGCTCTCTCTTCTTTCCATAGAACGCACATAAACTCTAATGTTGAGATACCTCTACTCGTACTGTGAAGATATGTGGTAATGTTAATATTGTACCAGAGAGAGAGAGAGAGAGAAGTAAAAGAAATAATTCTAGGCATGCACAAATTTTATATCTATATTTTTAGATATACTGCCCCAGTATGGCTAAGAATAACAAATTTGTGCATATCCAGTCTATCCCTAAGCTTATTGTATCAGTTATTTCCCCAGTAGGTTTAAAATGTATTGTTTCCTTTGCTTTCACAAAATGGTTAACATCTTTACAGTAGAGCATAAGCATTTGAATTTGAACCACAAAGTGTAACGAAAGGTCACTGAACTACTATATATTCAGTGAGAGAAGAGTTCTTCCTTTCACTCGGCGCCTTCCATTTAGACACAATCAAAATATTTTATACATGCTTCAGCAATACTATTAAAATAAAATATAGGGGAAAAATGACCATTTAAATCCCACAAATTAAAACAAAGGTCGGGCATTCCAACACTCCAAAAGCCTAAATGCAAGGCTTGTGCTCTCCAAAGATCAAAATTTCGTTTCACTGCATAGTTTCAGTGAGTTTGGAAATGGAAATGTTTCAGAAGTATTTCGAAAACAAGATAGAAACAAAAAAAATTTTGAAAATTTATTTCCGAAATATTAGTCGAAACAACGAAAACGTAGGTCAAAAGACCCCGAAATACTTCAAAACATAGAAATTTTGATATTCAATCAATGATTCGTTTCGATTTCCATGGAAACAAAAACATTTCGGATGTTTCAACTTTTTCGAAACGAAATTTAATTCCTTGGTACCCTTCTTGACCAATTGCTAAGAAGAAGAAGACAATATAAAGCTGATGACAAAAGAATGTCATGATATTGGCAACAATTTGGTGGTCAGTAAAGCTGAAAGTGTCAAGAGGCTGAGTCCTTGTCATTCAATCCAATCCAATCTATAAATTACGTTCTCGCTAAGTGAATCCATCATATAATTTATTAGAAGTTCCTTGATGAAAAATGTGGATCTTGATTAACTCCAGACTAAAACACATTATAAACAATCACACCAAACCTCTCCGATCAATCAAAAGGTTGATTGCATTTGATCCAACCAAATGCGCCAAAAAGACTGAAGATCAAATGTTAAGTGTAATAGGCCATATAACCAAAAAAAAGGGCAGATGATCAAATAAATTTTTTGATTGATGTAAAAATTCTTGAAATCCAAAGAGGCTATAAAAATGCTAGCTGTCGAGGTATAATAGCAAACATTGGGAACTTGTCACACTTCCTAACATATACTTGTGCATCCTTCTGAATATAAAGCCATCAATACCCTTGAGAGATGGCCCTTAGGGCAAGGCTTCTTCCTCCAGCATGGACACTGCACACTCCTTCGTGGATCTCATAAAGTATATCTTTTACTTTGCTAGGGTGGACACATAGCAACTACGGCCCAGAGAAGGACCTCTTGTAGAGCTTATGATCCGATGACAACCAGTAACGAGCTAACTTTGAGACAATGAATCTTGCCTCCTTATCTTCTGGGAGAGCCTCATTCTTTAGATAATGAACAAAAGGGTCCATCCAACTTGGTGCTTGCTCCACGCAATTGACATTTATTGGGTCTTCATGTATGCTTGGCTTCTCAAGATACTCCACCTCAATCGTTCACTTTAAACCTTATTTATCAATAGAAGTTAGAGTAGCAAGAGCATCAAAATGTTCATTTTGGTCTCTTGGGATCTGGATCACCTTGTAGGACTTCAATCGTCCAAGCAACTCCCTTGCCTTCTCTAAGTACAAGATCATGGCATTTGAACGGGCTTTATACTTCCTGTAAAGTTGGTTGACCACCAACTGAGAATTGGAGTATATATTTAACTCCTCAGCCCCCAATCTCAATGCAACCTGTACACCAAAGATTAATTCTTCGTACTCAGCCTCGTTGTTGGTGACAGCAAACCCCAACCGGAGGGCCCGCCCCAAGAATTTTCCATGAGGGGAGAATAGAACAATTCCAGCTCCTAATCCTCTCCAGGTTGAGGATCCATCAACTTGCAACTCCCAAGGCTGGGACCTAAAAGCCATGCTCCAGGCTACTACTTGTTCCTTTAGTAGTTGGTACGTAAACTCTGCTATGAAGTCGTCTAAGACTTGCGCTTTAATCGCTGTCCTTAGAATGAACTTGAGGTCATACTATCCCAACTCGAGCGCCCACTTTGCAGTGCGGTCAAAGAGGTCCACCTTACCAAGAACACTCCTTAAAAGGTGTTCGGTGATCACCGCAATGGTGTGTGCTTGGAAATAATGGTTCCACTTGTGAGAAGCTACAACCAAGGCGAAAAGGAGTTTTTCGAGGGGGTATACCATATCTCTACCCCCAATAAAGTCTTGTTTACAAAATAGATGGGCTTCTGTTCCATCCCTTCTCCTCGTTATAATACTCCACTTATAGCGTATTCAGACACGGCTAAATAGAGTTGAAGATCTTCCCCTTGTGAAGGAATGGAAAGCAAAAGAAGTGTCTAGAGGTAGCTTTTTAAGTCATTGAGGGCCTTGTCATACTCATCATCCCAGTGGAAGGCCCAACCTACCCTAAGCACCTAAAAGAAGGGCCTACATATAATTTAAAAGTTAGAGATTGAACTTTCGTGGGGGTTCGAATTCTTGTATGGACCGAACAAAAGGTGTGGTAGTCATCTTTGCGAAGGTCTTCCTTGCCCTCTCCTTCGTTGAGTAGATGAGGTTGTCATAGGCATAGTCATGTTGCAGCCGACTGGCCACTTCACGAGCTAGCTCAAAGCGCCTTCGCTTATCTCCTCTATAGTTGTCCTAGCGGTGTTCCCTATGATGGCGAAAAGGACTCTCATGTTGTTCCTTCACTTCCTAGGAAGGCGTTGTCTACGCGTTTCACCTCCCTCCTCCCTTTGATGAGAGCGATCATGCCTCAGAGAGGGGTTTCTAAGGGCACAGTCAGTAATGCTTCTCCTAGGTGAGTACCTCTTGTGACTCTAATTATGAGTTGAGTAACTCTTTGCATGAGAATGGTTTCTATGTTGAGAGGAATGGGCTTCCGTAATATGATCATTCCAACAAGCAGAGTTACAGGTCTAACGTCAGACCTCTCTAGCGAGTTGCTTGCTACTTTGACGTAAAAGGCCTTGCCTAAGAGCTTCTAAATCCTCCGTCTTCTTCATAATTGCCTCACGGTAATCATTCTTGGTAGTTAACCCACCTTCCGCGCCAAGGGTTTGTAGGTTGCGATGAGAGGGGGATTTTTCTTTAGAGTGGTCTTGACTATCATGGGGTAGTAGTTAGCACTTCCTCTAATAACCGGAGGTCATAGATAGCGGGATCCTTGCAGATCGGGGGTAGTGGGAGTAGTAAACAGCTAGTTCCAAGATCGAGAACTCTCTTGTCGAACATGGTTCAAGACTTTTTGGTTAGTAGATAACTTCGTTTCCTATAGACGGCGCCAATTGTACTAGGATAAATCCAAGTAAGGAGTCACCACCTCATATAGACGGAGAGAGTAGCAGAGAAGCCTTGGTATCCCTGCAAGACAAGAGAAAACCTAGGTAAACCGATGATTGGAGGCGGCCAAAAGAACTCCGATGCTTGGTCAGTAAACGAGTCGAAGAAAAGTAAAGGGTAAATAGGCTAAAATTGAATTAATTACCTGACACCTGATACCTTCATTTATAGTGGTACAGGCAACGATGTTCCACATAGACACAAACTCTAGGTTGTGATAGGATAGACTTCATCACTAATCCCCTAAACGTTCGAGATAGAATCATACTAGGACGTTTAGTCCTATATTATAAGAAGAGATGTGATCGCCAGGAGGCTTTGTTTATCAAAAGTCCCTTCATACTCGGTGTAGAATTTTGCTAGGACTCTGGATTTTGAGTTAATCCTTCACCGAATAGGATTTTTCCGTGGCTGCTTCTTGGGCCTACCCATGTGTGACCAATGTGCCCAGACAGATTGCTACTGCCGATCGGCAAGTGTGCCTGTCAGCACTACCAAGAGAGGAGAGTCCTCTCTTGGCCTTGGTTGAACTTAATGGGGCTGGGAAAATTGATACTGCCAGTCGGCACTAGCAATAGGAGTGCTGCCTTGGTGGTGCTAGGGGACTGCTTAGGAGGAAGGACCTCGCTTTGGTGGCTGCCTCGGAGTGGTAGTGCTTTGCTACTGTTGGTCGGCAGTAGCAATAGTCTTGGATTTGCTAGAAATGCTCCTTGCATGTGCTTGGCCTTGCTCCTAGAAGCTTGCTCAAGTGGTGTCACACCAAGCATGACCTTCACTTGGTCTTGGCTAAACTAGTCATAATGACTATTGCTTGTACCTGCCGGCACAAGCAAAGCTCAAAGGGTTCCCCACAGTTAAATATAGGGACAAAATGAAAATAATGAACATTTAAATCCCACAAATTACACAAAGTTCAGGCATTTCAAAACTCCAAAACTTCCCACGTACTAATTACTCTCCCCACTCGTATAATTTGCCTACAGTCCGTGTGTTTTTCTAGTAATGACAGAAACTAAATAAAAAATAAGAATTGAAAAAGCAACAAACCAGGATATAGAGCACAGAGGCAATGATAATGGTACGGTATCGACCCAGAAATGAATCGGCAATAAAAGCACCCAAAAGGGGAAGAAGCGACGCCGTTCCAGACCATGCGTTCACGCTCTGGGCAGCAATGGCGGTTGACTGGCCCAACGGCCCAGTAAGGTAGGTAATGAGGTTGCAACTTATTCCATAATACGCAAACCTTTCCGCAATTTCAACGCCTGAAAGTGAATCTCAAATTCGTTCACTATTCGTCAAATTCGAAAAATTCAATCAGTATCATATGATTGAGTGTTTGGTGGTTACCTATGATGAAAGATGCAGATCTCCATCCACCGGATTTGGATCTGTTAACTGGACGACCCTTGTAGCCGACGACATCATAAACGACGTCGTCTAGCAGTGGAGTATCGGCGTCGGGCGTGTCGGTGATGGCGACGGCGGATATGGACATGGCGACGCTACACCCTCACAACAACCACCTCACCAGCGACGGTGGACAAGAAACTCCAATGTACACACAAGTGTATATATATTTCTTTCTCTTTCATCTCTTTAAGCAAATAGATTCTTCTTTAAACCCCATGTGGGTCATGGGGTGGCTGACATGCATCAATGTGTCGACTATCAAACTACATCACATAATTTATTTCTGTTTTCGGTAAGTTACAAACGTGTTTCTTTCGCTTTATGACGCTTGTGGATGATGAGTAGAGTGCCGGCCCATGTCGCAGGCCATTGCCTATGGCCCTCAAATGGGACAAAAATTTTGAGCCCCAAATTTAATTTTTGTACAGTTTTACTCAACTTAATTTTGGGATTTAATTTAAAATTTTAATGCATTTTTACCATTAAATTAGTAAGAAAAACTACCATTGAATAAGTTTACTAAAAATCAAATAATCACAATTTATTAAGTGTCAAAATTAGGTCCGTAGATTAAATAGAAGTAATAGTATTTTAAATTTTTTAGAATTTTTTACAAAAATATTTAGGGGCCTAAAGTTTGAGTTAATGTATTTTATCTTTGCCCAATGTTTATGGTATATGAAAAATACGTGTTATCATCTAATAAAATATTTTTTTATTTTATTATCAAAAAAAAATTGTGTAATTCATTGTCTATCAACTAATAATTGTAAATTATAACTTTATATATTTTTTTAGATTAAATTTGAGGTTACTTCAAATTTAGGATAAATTTTTACTTAATTATTTTTTTAAAGCATATAAAAATGACTATAGAATAGAATGAGCAAAAGTATCTCACTATCTAAAACTAATTATAATCATAATTGTCTTGCTAAAATTTCTTAGTTAAAAACATTTCTTTGGTTCTCTGTAATATTAAAACATATTTCACATATTCCAATACCATTTAACTTACACAAATTTTAATTTTTACATTTGTTCTGAAAAATTTTATTTTGTTAGTTAGTTTAAATTTTCATTCTGTTTCTCATTATTTCCAATAGAAAATTAACTTAATTATATTTGGTCGAGAATTCGACTTTTGTTAATTGAATTTTAATGTATAAAACTTGAATTTAAAATTTTAATTAATATTTTTGAATCTCAAAAAAGAAAAACAAAAAAAATTAAATAATTTAATTGTTGACAATTATTTATATTATTATAAAATATATTAATAAGACCTAATTTAACATTTTTGCCTAGGGCCCCCAAATATGTTGGGCTGCCCATGGATGAGTAATTTGTATTTCAGGAATTGAAACTCCAATGCTTTAAGGTATTTGGAGGTATTTTGATGTGTTTTACTATTGTTTAGATATTTTAGTATATTTAAACTAATATTTTGAAATATTTTAGAAATATATTTTAAAAGTTTTTGTTTCCAGTTTATTTTTAAAATATTATCGAAATATTTGTTTTGTTTTCCATGTCACCCAAACAATGTACTAAAATAAATTTTTGATTCTTGTGTGTTGGGGGGGGGGGGGGGGGGGTGGAACTAACATTTAGAAAATTTTACTTTCTATCTTTAAAGATTTAGGGCCTCTTTGATTTATGTCTCCAAAATTGTCGCAAAAAAATGGAAAAAGTTAGGCTTGTTTGGATTGTATCTGTAAAATAAGTTTTTTGTTTTGTGATATAAAAAATAATTGAAAACATGTTTGGTTAAATTATTTTTCAGAACAATTTTGAAATAATTGAAGAACAAAAAATTAATTTTAGGGAACAACTAAAACATATTTTGGGCTATTTTAGAGAGAAAACACAAGGAAGCGGGTTATTGTGCACTTATACCTAGGTATAAAAGACACTCTCTACTTCGACCACTCACAAGGAACGAAGTTCTAGTGAATGAAAGGCATCTCTGATAGAATGATTAGAGTGAGTCTTCTCCGACGACTGAAGGTCGTTTTCTACAATGATTGAGAGCTCTTTGATGAAAACGAGTCATAGATTTGGCTATTGGAGATCTAATTGTTGTAGATCTAGCTATTACATATTTGGTTGTTATAGATCTCGTAATTGGATCTTGGTTTTTTTTTTTTGGTCAGATTTGTTGATTTTTGTGTTGCTATATATGAGCTTGTGATTTTATTTGTTTTTGTGATTTGGCCGTTGGATTTTATTTGTTTTTTATACTTGTGGTTGTACATATGGCAATTGAATCTTGCTTTGGTGAAGAACTTAAAAAGGGTGTATAAAGAAAAGTAAAAAGACAATATGAATCCTCTTGAAAATAGCATTCAAAGTCATATTGGTGTTAATTTTCGGTAATTTGTTCTATTTTTTTGATTTTTCTACTCAATTTCAATTTTTCGGTCCACTAAAAATTTAATGTTTTTTTGTTTTTTATAACTGTTTTTAGGATTATATCGTCAAACAAGTTATGCGAGACAAAAATATTTTTTTTCTAAAAATTTTCTCAAAAATATATTTTTAAATACTATTTTTTGAGAGACAATTCAAACACACTCTATTTTTATGACTTTTTGATTTCCATTCTGAGAAAGATGAAGGCAAAAAGTGGGTGTTTTTGGAAATATAATATACATGAATTTTGATTGTAAATTTAAAATATTTGATAATTTATCTTTGATCGGAGTTTTGTGATTTAAGTATAACATTTTAAATTTGAGGGGTATAAGTATATACGCCTACAAACGGATAAGTAGCGGACATTGACGATGAGAGTTTAAGTGTTAGGCACGTATAAACTTTAGGCGGTTTGTCTGTGATATTTCAAATATCGAGAGAGTTGAGTGATTAAAAGACTAATCTCAAAAAATCAGGACGTAATTCTCCCAAACTAAAAAGTGTCTGATATTTTCTTTCTCCTCCCCCTCTCTCTTCAAAGCTGGTTTTGCTTCTCTACCAGTCGGTGCTCTTGGCTGACGGTGAAGAACCATTTGACAACCTAGGTGGCCATACTGTCCACAACCAGTCTGATCGTAGCAAAAAATATTAACCTAAGCATGAGATTCAAGAGTTCTTATAAGTTTTACTAACTTCCTCCGATTTTTTTTTTTGCCTTATTTCGTGTCTTTGTGTTATTGGAGCTATAATATAACCGATTCGCACTCTTACGGTCTTAGGCTCGTTTGGTTGTCTTAGTTTTTTGGTTGCCGTATAGTAAAAGAACGAATTGTATTAGTTAATATAACCTAATTCTGTATAAGCGAATAAAATACAAAATTAAATATGAGATAAAGTTAATATACATTGTAATTTAAGATTTGGTAAGATACTTGATAAGGGTGGGAAAACAGAGTCTTAATTACATATTGACAACAAAATTATTAATCTTATTTAGTTATTAATGTTTTTATTTATTTGATGGGTAAAATGTTAAATTTATAACTTAATAAACTTGAATTAAACTATAATATCACCTCCGGATCGACTCAATAGTACGAATAGAGTGTATTATTTAGATAAGTATTTGAAATAAGACTATTTATGATACAAAATATTTTTTACAACCAAATGCAATATAAGGTTGGAGTAGAGAGTTTAAATTTGTTATAATCCTTAATACATCTCTTAATACTGCAACCAAACAACTCCTTAGGTTTATGATACCCATAGTTTACAGTTTTTTATTTATGGGCTTGTCAAATATGTCATCATTTTGTAAATATTCTTATACAATATGTTTTGCATTTTTAGCATGACCTTTTGACATGCTTCTATTAGAATTTTTTGTATGGAAGTTTGCAAAATTTTTCCAGCATTTTTGGGTGCTTATCACCCACGACACTATTCCTCAATTTCAATGCAATTCCATTCCTATATATGCTTATGAGGAGGCTTTCCACCAAGAACATGTTTTTCCCAAGCCACTTCTTGGTGCCTTTCGCAATTCATGTGTATTCATTTTTGGAATTCTCATTATAAAAAGTCCCTACTCAATTCAAATTGCCTTACTTTTCAGCTCAGAAGGTTTGGAAAGGCTTATAATTCTGCTACAGTTTGTTTGAATCAGATAAGGCATATTTGCATTCTTAGTGATATCTCTTCTAATTTGTTCTTTGTCATTCGTTATGTTTACATGCCTTATTGATTGCTTGTGTAATATATTATTTGTTATTCCTTTTTTTTTTTTTTTTAGCATGATCTGTCTTTCCAATGTCTAGGTTGTCAATGTGGAGAGAAGACATGCTATGTAGCGTAACCATGACTATTGTAGTGCGACTACTTTTGGGGTTCATCCTGCTTATGAAACAGTCGACCAATGGAGGGGTCGTAGAGATTTGCTGGCAATGTGATTTCCTGAAGATGATGTGTTAAGCTCTTCTAAGAATTGTTTGGGCATTTGTTCCTTAAATTGTGCTTCTGTGCCCAAAACCTGAAAATGTAACCATTTGATTGTATACTTGATGTTAACATTCAATTGGTCGTTTGCAATTTCCTTTGTATTGAACTCCTATAATGACAAATATGCATTTACGGTGATATGTGCAAGGTTCACAACTAGACTTGGAAGTCATTTTATTTAATAGCTCAACTGTTTGGATCTTTTAATTTGAAGAAGGGTTTTATGGAAAACCATTGCATTACATCGAGAGGATTTTCCAATTCAATGGTGGAATGAAGAAGTGTATATTAAGCCATTGTTTTTTGTGCCACTATCCATACAAATTTCATTGTTTTCTGTTTCTGATAACTATTTTCGGAATCATTTAACCAATCATATATTTATGATACAAAAACACTCTTAAAATTTTTCTCGGAGATAAGTTGTTCAATACTGATTTATGGGACATATTCAAATAGGGCTAGATTTTTCACGTTACTCACTCAATGTATTTGATGATACCAAAAGAAAAGATCCAATTCAGACTAATTATAGGACAAGACAAGATTCCAGGTCATCGTATGCCAAGTTGACTTGGAAGAGTGCAAGTCAGCTATGACAAAAGCTTGGGAATCACCAAAGAGGGTAAAAGAGGGCTTTCACCAGTTAACCCTAGCTTGGATAAA